CGCTCCCGCAGCGCCTCGCACGCCAAGCGGCGGGGCGCCACGCCGCGCGCGAATCTCCGACACCGCAGTGCGCAGAATCGCAGGCATGGAGCCAACACCAATACCGGCGGTGCACCTCCACCGAGGGAAGAAGATTCCGATCTCGGTGATGGTGGCAGTATATATCATGGTTTCCAAGGTGGCCGAAACCTTGCCACCAACACCGAGTCTTGGCAACCCCCTGGTGCCCCTTTCCAGGCCTCCATCAGAAGGCCCTCCGCAGGGCGGATCCGGCGCTCGGATCATGTTGCTCCCGTCGTACTTAAGGGCCACATCCCAGAAATAATTTCGAGCGCCCGGAAAAGTGTCGAAACAGTGTCGAAACAGTGTCAGACGAGCGTCCCCCAGGGCCCGACACGCGAACCCCCTCGAGCTTCGGTGCTTTCTCGGGGGGGTCGAGATTCTTTCTCGTGATCAAGGCTAAAGCAGTCTGGACCAGCATAACGCTCGGAGGAAGCCCGCCGATCGGCGACGGCCGAGCCCACGCGGCTGCGTGCGCCGCCAGGAGCGCCCCGCGGGCGGCCTCACGCGGCAGCGGCGGCGGGCGCGTACCGGGCAGGGCCCCGACGTGCCCAGTCTCGGTCGGCGCCGCGGGCCGAAGGCGGCCTTTGCGGCAGCAGCTTCGAGCCTTAAGTAGACGAGCGCGTCCCACTGCTCGCAGAGTAACTACCCGCAAATGGCCTGGCTCCGCCGCGGGGGATCTGCGATAGTGTGCATCGAAGAGCATGTTTATATATATATATATATATATATGTACATTGTATATATGTATGTGTGCTTATATGTGTTCATATATGTGTGTGTATTGATGTATGTTTATATATATATATGTGTGTAGATGTGTATTTCGGAGGTTTGCAAGTAGGCACTTTGCGAGCAGTGGAACGCCCTCGGCGATCAACATGGCACTGGGAGGATGGGGAGGGGAAGGAGGGGGGAAGAGTCGGAACTAGAGGGGGGCGAATGGAGCCGGGGTTGGATGGAGGCCGCTGTGGGGCGGGAGCTAGCGTCAGGTCGGGCACGTCCTCCTACAGGCGGATGCTGGAGGGATCATAAGGAATAGTAAAGCTCTTATGTATATATAACATTTGCTCTACTATATTATTTTTAACACACAAAATCAAAAACAAACAACAACAAAAACGTACCCTGACTATTCTCAAGCTATTGTTGAATATTCCTCCTGTAGAGGGACATGCCCGATTTAGAGCTGGCGCTGCGGAGACAGCGAACGGAGGGCGGCCCAGACGAGGGCCCTGCTCGGCGTGACCTCGTTCGGCCTCTGGGCCCACCCCGCCCGCCCCTCGGAGGCGCCCATCGGTCAGCAGGAGTAGGTAGAAACTCTTTTTTGATCCGCGGGTCGAGAGCGCACCTCTTCGGGTCGAAGCTAAGTGGGCCGCGCGAAGCTTGAATTAGGCAGAGACGAGGAGGGAGGAAGCGGCGGAGCCACAGAGCGAGGCCGAGAGGAGGCATCCGAGTAGGAAGAAACTCGGGGGGGGCAAAAGGGGGGGATAGCAAAGGGCAGGGTAGAGAATCAGCTCACGCAGCTGACTTTCCCAGCGCCTCACAGCGCCGGGAGGCGCCCACGTATCGAGGAATGGGCTTGGCGGCGGGGCCGAAACCAGCTGCGTGCAGCAGATTTCGTACCCCCCCCCTTCCCTATCCCCCTCTTTCGTTCGGCCCGAGAAGCATGAAATAAAAAGACGTTGAAAATAGATCGGGTTTCCGCCCGCTCCCTAAAGAGAACGGGAAAGAAGAAAACACTCGATCATTGAAGTAGGAAGGCGCCTAAAGTAGACTGGAACCTGGGAATCCCCAAGTACCCAATTTCAACGACCGATGGGCAAGTCAGGTGAGAGGGCGGAGTCGGCTTCTCCACCTTTCTTGTGGCCGAATGAGACTGCAGAAAAGAGGGCCACCCAATCGCCTGAGATGTCCCAGGCAGGCCGCGTGCGGATGCACAGGGTGAGCTCTCAAGAGATCGGCATCAGGGCCAACTGGCCAGTGCCTGCAAGACCACGGTGAGCGGTGACCAGTTGGATCCGCTCCAAGCCCAGGCTCTCTTCTGGCCGCAAGGACCCCAGGCACGCCCCACCCACGTTAAGCGGGGGCAGACTGGACAGTCCGAGACTGCCGGGAAGAGGGCCTCAGGGGCAAAAACTTCAGCGCCACCCTCTGCTCAACCCCCGCCCCCGCTCCTCCGCCCCGTGGCAGGCCGGACCGAGTCGGGGAAGAGGGGTCGGCTACACACACACACAGTGTGTCCCCATGCAAGAGTGACCTCTGGTGCGCGGCTTTCGGGGGGCGCGGGGGGGCCAACCCCCAGCACGCAAGCCGCTGCTGTCGCGTCGCATTCGGCCACCTGGGCACCCCAGTGGCCGCCCCAGGCACCCGACGTCGTAATTATTTTCACAGCGTCGACCCCCAAAAGTCTGCACCCCTTCCCCGAAACCGGTTTTCATCCTGAGTCGTTTTGTTGACGCCCCTGGGGCCCGGTGGGGGCCCCCAGAGGCCGAAAACAGCGAAAAACCTGGCGCCGTGACTTTTTTCACACCGCGAAGAGATCTGGGGCACCAAGAGGTCACTCTGGCGCGAGGTCCCTCCTGCGTGTAGCCAAAGGGGGACAGCCGAAGCCCAGCCTCCCCCCCCCAGAGCCTGCGCTCCCCCCAGAGAGGGCCCACCCCAAGCGGCCCGGACTCGTCCGCCCTGCAGGGGCAAGCCGAGCAGGGCTAGGGGACTGCATGGGAGGGAGTGGCAGCGGGAGCCGCGCCGCTCCCCTCCCACACCCCCGCCACCGCCCCCCCCATGCCCACACCAAACCCAGACATCGGGCGTCTCGAAAAAATCGAGCCGGAGGTTTCTCTTAATTTTTGGCCTCTCGGGGCCCTTACCCGGCCTCGGGACGGACAAAAAAACGACTGGGGATGAAAAGCCGGTCCCGAGGTAGTGCTCGGGAGGTGGGGGGCCCGTGTTCCGAAAAAATCGAGACGTCGGGTATCTGGGAACAGAGAGGGCCCTCCCCGCACATCATCGCTCCGCCGAAGCAGGTCCGAGCTGGCACGGAAAATGGCGGGGGCTGCGATGGGATGCCCCAGGGGCGTCGCCTTCACACTAAGCCTTCCCCCTCCCCCCATACCCCCCTCTGTGCGTGGCCGAACTGCCCAGCCGAGGCCGAGTCCGAGGAGGTGGGGATGGACGGAGGAGGAGGCCGGCAGAGAAGGGAAGGAGGAGGAAGCACAGAAGGGATGGTGGCGCGCTCCAGCCAATTGCGAGGTGGCGAGAGAGGATGCTGGGTCGGGCGGGGCCAGGACGAGGGTAGATCTGGGACGCTCCAAGACGGCCGTGGCGCCCGAGACATCCTCCAGAGCCGCCAGCTCTCAGAGATTCTCGACTTATCCTCACCCGGTTTATCCTCGTCGCGGCTTCGTCGTAGCCGAACGATCATGTTCACGCCGTTTCTTGATTTGCTGGTGGAATGCGCAGAGAATGTTGCGCATGAAGGCGATGCGCCAGAAATCAACGCCCATTTGGAAATCAGCGCGAAGCCGCAACTCGATGATGGCGCTCTCTGGCCACGTCAGCGCAAGGCAAGGAAATAGGAGGGCCCCAGCGGGCTTAGAGCACGCTCCCGATTCTCCGCGAAGAATTGCGGCACGGCCGAAGGGGATAAGCCGACAGAGTCAGGGCCCAGGGGCAAGGGCGAGGAAGGAGGAGCGAAAGGGGGAGAGAGAGAGAGAGGAGGAGGAGGAAGGGCGAGGTCCCTCCTCGTCCTTCTCTTCTCCCCTCCTCTTCTTCTACTTATAGTATTGTCAGTACGGTTATGCTTAGCATTAAATGTATGCTCGTTCACACTCGTACAAATGCTCTGCTCATTGTTATGGGCATCACGATTACTAGTGTTAGTAACATCATTAGAAATAGAAGTATCACTGGTACTATCAATACAAATCGTAATGGTCTCATTACTGCGGCTGCTGTTACTTTATGCGAAAATATTGTTATATAATGGTAACGAATGTTGCACATTAGCAATACGAGTTGCATTAGTGTAATTGGTATTACTAATCGTATAAGCATTGTGGGTCTTAGTATATCGTGATCGTGTGCTTATTATGTGTGATCTCGTTACTCGTATAAGCAATAATAAGTTTAATAGTACTAGTAATCCGAGTCTTAGTACTACTCATCATGACATCATCGTGTATGCGATGTTTCCTCGTCCACTTCAGATTCCTCTTCCTCATCCTTCTCCTCCGCAGCAGCATCATCCTCATAGTATTAGAATGATGACTGTTATTACTCTTCATCATCACTTCCGCCTCCTCCTCCTCCTCTTCCTCCTTCTCCTCCTCCTCATCCTCCAACTCCTCCTCCTCCTCTTCCTCCTCTTCCACCTCCTCCTCCTCCGCCTCCTCCCACCGTCATCCTGCTCCTCCTCCTCCTCCTACTCCTACTCCTCCTCCTCCTCGTCCTCCTCCTCCTCCTCCTCTTCCTCCTCCTACTCCTCCTCCTGCTCCTGCTCCTCCTCTCCTCTCCTCCTCCTCCTCCTCCTCCTCCTCCTCCTACTCCTCCGCCTCCGCCTACTCCTCCTCCTCTCCGCCTCTTCCCCTCCTCTTCCGTCCGCCTCCGCCTCCGCCTCCTCCGCCTCCTCCGCCTCCTCCACCTCCTCCGCCTCCTCCTCTTCCTCCTCCTCCTCATCCGCCTCCTCCGCCTCATCTTCCTCCTCCTCCTCCTCCACCACCGCCTCCTTCTCCTCTTCCTCCTCCCCCTCATCCTGTTTTTCGCCTCGTCCTCCTCCTCCTCATGCTCCTCCTCCTCCTCCTCCTCCTCCTCCTCCCCCTCCTCCTCTCCCTCCTCCTCTTCCTGCTCCTCCTCCTCCTCCTCCTCCTTTTCCTCCTCCTCCTCCTTTCCTCCTTCCCTTGCTCAATCAATCACTTACTCAAATCAACAATTCATTCATCCGTCCTTGCCAGCCACGCCCTGCGCGGGAACGCGCCAGAGAAAAAGGAGGATAATAGGAAGGGGGCAGACGGGAGAGAAGGAAAATGAAGAGGGGAAGGAGGGAAGAGGAGGATGGGGAGCAGGGAGGAGGGAAACGAGGAGGAGGAGGAGGGAAAGAGGAAGGACGAGGGAGGCAGGGTCCCGAAGCAAAGTAGCGAAGGTCCTCCGCGAACCACTGAATCCCTGCAAATTGCTGGAGACGGGTTGACCCTGCAGGCCATACCGCAACTCTTCCCGCAGCACCAGCCGCACCCGCCAGCCAGTTACGACGAGCAGGACGATGAGCAGCACCAGTTCGAATTCCACTGTACCGAAGCTTTGCAGGCCGCGCCAAGACCAAGTGCCGCTGGGCCCGACGGGTGGCGGCACGAGCACTTCCAACTAGTCCCAACCGAGTTGTCCGCCCTGCGCGCCCTGGCCACAATGGCCGCCGCGCTAGCCCGCGGTGCGTTCCCACCGGAAGTTCAGGAGCTGGCCACGGCCGCCCGCCTCCTTCCACTCACAAGAAGCCCCGCCAGAATCCGCCCCGCCAACCTTGCCGGCCCGCTCCGCCGTGACGCGTCCAAGGCGGTCAACAGAATGGCAACGAACGAGGTGGCCGAAGGGCTCCAGGGCAAGCAGCTCGGGCACGAGCACACGGCCGGGACTGCTCCAAAGGCACGTGTCCACTGCGCTCCACGTCCACCCACACGCTCTGCGCCGTGCTCTTCCTGGACGCCACTGACGCCTCTCAAAAACTGAGCAGGCAGCATATCAATGAAGGCATCGATGCTCACTGCCCCAAACCTTAGAGCTGGGCGAAAGGTTTTTTACCAGACGCGGGGCAGGTAGTCGACCACGACGGCAGGGACACAAGGCACGTCTGGAAGCAAACGACAAGCATCTTCCAGGGATATGGCATGGCAATAACGCTCCTACGACTCGGGCACGACAGAGCACTCGAACGGGCCAGACACCGACTCGCCAGAGCTGGGGTACAGCACGAACTCTTCGTCCTCATCGACGACCTCACCGTCCGTGCAAAGCCCGAAGACCTGCCCGCTATCTACGCAGCCTACACCAATGCGATGTACCAGGCCAGCCTCCGAATCCATGCCGACAAATGCGAAGCTTGGACGGGAGATCCTGCCGCGATACCAGCACACCTACCCGCACCACGAGTAGAGCAACCCACGGTCTTACGACAACACGCCGCCGACTGCTCCGGATTGTCACCGACACCGCTTGCCGCCGACCAAGAAGGCCGCGGCACGCAGCATGCACTCACTCGCCTCGCCGCGACCCCTGCACCAATGCATCAAGAGGACGAAAGCCACTGCCCGACTCATGGACCTCCACGAGGCCGGCCTCGACGTGCAGACGTCTCTGGTACTTTTCCGACCGCTCACAGCAGGAGACATGACGTGGCACATGCGAACCACTGGGGTTCCGGCCCAGATATCAACCAAGCTCGACGCCAACCTGCAAGGCGCCCTGGAGCAGCTAGTGCACACGCAAGACCTCACAGCAGAGCAGAAACGGAAATACTGGCACCCTGTCGCTTTGCGCGGCCTGGGCCTCCAGAGCGTGAACGCATCGAGGCTGGACGCTCAAGCGGCCTCGCGGGCCCTGTGTGCAAGGCCGGTCCTGCAATGGCTGGGACTCAACGACATCGAGGACCTGCTCCACTATTGCCCTGGCCTCCGGCCAAAAATTACAACACCCCAAGCGCACCGCCAGCGCATTAACGCAAGAAAAGGCCACGCAGCAGGCGCCCGACACGGAGCCGCCCAACGCCACCCAACGATGCTTCACTAGACTCAGACGGCACGCCGAGTGGACACAGTGGTTCGACGCAGCCAAACGGAGCCGCACGAACGGCCCTGGGCCCTCCGCACGAGGACCGCCCACACGACCCGACCACCACCTCACTGACGATCACTTCGGGATGGCCTTGAGACACAGACTCGGAGGACCGGGCCGCGCAGCCGAGCCCCTGTCCCTTCAAGGAGGAGGATACATCCCCCTGCGGTGGATCGCCGACATCGATGGACGCCACACAAGATGCTCTCACATGGAGGGGGCTTCCTGGTTAAGAGGCGCAACACCCTGCGCGACACCGTCGCGCGAGCCCTACGTGAAGCGGGCATTTCTGACATCGGAGTCGAACCTTGGGTCCGCCCGCGCCCAACGTAGGGGAACAAAAAGTGTGGCCCCAGCGCCGATCCGAGAGATCCGCGCGGACCTCCGAGTTTTCATGTTTATGTCGCTTCTTGTTCCCCTACAGCGGGCCAGGTCCCCCACGGGTCCCCGCGCCGACCTCCGATGGCCAGCGGTGGCCAGTGGGCGCCTCTCGACTCTGCCAGCGTGCGTCGTGCCTCGCAGCAGAGCCTGCAGGCTGGAGGGGCTCACACCCGCCGCCGGAGGCGGCGACCGTGCCCGGCCTGGGTGGCTCACACCCCTACAGGGCAGGTCTTGATACGTAGGATGTTTCAAAAATATTTGACAGCCTGGAACATATCCCTATCCCTATGCTGGGCACCTCCTCATCACGATGCCAATCTTAGGGATTCCCTTATTTTTTGATGGCGAATCCCTAAGATTGTCATCGCCTTTTGGCGTGTCAATCTTAAGGATAGGAAACGTTCGAGGCTGGTAGTAAAATATAGGATTGCTATACATGATCAATTTAAGAACAAACTTATGCATGAGCTCATCGTTGTTCTTAATACTAAATCCCTGATTGTTTTATACACGATCCGCACGCGGAGCATGTCTTAAAAACGGCACTGGGTTATGCCGGGCACCTGCTCCCAACACGTCTCGGCACGATCCCTCCGACCACTGCACCTTCGCGCCCCTCACAACCACCACCCGTTCGGCGACAGCACCACGACAACAGCCACATCTCCCACAGCGCCGGCAGCAACCACCACCACTCTGACAACTGCGACTATCACCACCACACTAACTTCAACGACCACCACGACGACCACCACGACCGCCCCCCCGCCAGCCGCCCCATCTTCCTCTTCCTATCCTTCTCCTACCGCCCATGCCGGGCCGCCCCTGGTTGCATTTCTGCTTGCATAATTTTGCCACGGGGCCTATCCTCCAAGGAACTGTGTCCAGTAGGTCGCCCGAGATCATGGACCCGAGATCATAACCCAAACGCCCGGGGGTCCCCCCTTGGTCACGGGGATGGGGACCCACTTGGGTGCCTTCGGGCCTTTTTGAGGAGGGAGGGAGGCAGGAAACAAGGGAGGGAGGGAGAAAGGTAGGGAGGGAGGGAGAGAACGAAGGGAAGGAGGGGAACGGACGACGACAGCGGCGGCGGCGATGTCTAGGCGGGGCCCCCTCCTGGCATCTGGCCCACGCCGAGCTCATCCGCGACCTCGGCGATCGCTGGTCGCGTCTTCGTCGCCAACGTCGTCCTTCCGACGCGGCGTCCCTCCTCCGCCTCCCTCCTCTCCACCTCTTCCTCCTCTTCCTCCTCTTCCGCCTCCTCCTCCTCCCCCTCCCCCTCCTCCTCATCCTCCGCCTCCTCCGCCTGCTCCGCCTCCTCCTCCTCATCATCATCATCCTCATCCTCATCCTCCTCCTATTCCTCCTTTTCCGCCTCCTCCTCCTCCTTATCCTCATCCTCCTCATCCTCCTCCGCCTCCTCCTCCTCGTCCTTCTCCGCATCCTCCTCCTCCTCCTCCTCCTCCTCCTCCTCCTCCTCCTCCTCCTCCTGCTCCACCTTATCATCCTCACGTTCCTCCTCATCTTCCTCTTCTCACTCATCCTCATCGTCTCCATCATCCTCACAATTCTCATCCTGGCATCGCTGGCGCGACCCTCACGATGCGACTCTGGAGCGAGCGCCGCCGCCGCGCGGGCGCGGCCGCCGCGCGCCCCGGCTCTTGTCACCGGCAGCCGAAGGGCCAAAGGCGAGGCACGAATGCAGAAGGTAGCGGGGCAGAATAAAGGGGGAGGTTAAAGTCGGAGCAGCTACAGCAGCTTGCAAGCTCAGAGGTAGTTCTCGTCGTCGCTTAGGTGCTCTGTCTTGTCGACTACCCAACCTCTTCTTCATCGCACGTCCAATATTGTAGCTGATACGTCAAATAATACTGGCTTCCTGCATCTGAAACACTTAGCTATCACGTTTCCAGAATCCCGCCGCGGTGAGAAGCGGCGAGGATTCGATGGAAGCGTTTGGCTGCAGCACCAGCCGTCTGTCCCGCACGGATATTTCGCTCAGCTCCAGCGCAGCTGCGGCGAACACACTAGCTCCGACGAAATACTCCCTCAAGTACTTGCCCCCGACAGCGCCGCCAGCTTCGAGCGGATTGTTTGCGGGGCTTGGCCTCTCAGCCAACTCTCGCGCTGTCCAGTCTGCAGTTGGTGACGTGTGCTCTGCGACTACTCCAGGCTTCGCTGATGTTTGATGTTGTCAGATGTAGTAGCTCCTCTACCATTATCGCGCACAATGCTCCCAGCGATGCAACTGGCGGCAACAAACTCTAGATTTGCATCTCCCGTCGTCACCTTACCGTGTTTCTCACACTTCGCTTGAGCTCTGGCTTCACCACTGCCCTGGTCCCCGCATTGAGGCGAGGGTCGTAGGGTGGCCCTGGCTCTACTCTACCTCCCACCAAGCTTCCAATGCGGACGATGCCACGAAAGAGACCGCCACCGAGGCAGCCACTACAGAAGCTCTCTTCTGCCTCTTCCTGATCGCGTAGCTTGGGTAGGCCAGGTGCCGCATCGTATTTCAAGACTCCAGGTGTTATGTTGTTTTCGTAGGAACACTTCCTCCTAACCGCCTCCGCCTCCTCCCCAGCAGTGGAATCGATGACGTTTGGGTTCGAGCCTGGTGCGGCCCGTCCTTCTGGCAGTGGGCAGGTGGCCCTTGTGGACTCTGCTGGTGGCCGTCGATGATATGCTGCTTCTTCTTGCCGTCGTAGCCCAGCTAGTGCCCCTGTTGGCTCTGCTTACACCCTGGTCCCCTCCCTTGCGGGGGCGGTCATGGGGCGTGCCTGGATCTGCTTCACCAACCTCCACCCTGGTCCCCGTCTTGAGCCAGAGGTCGTGTGGAGTGCTTCGCCCCTCACACAGAAGCTGCCACTAAATAAGCCTGTATGCAACTCTTCTCGAAATACATTGTCGTGATGCATCTCCTCTTGAAGGACATTCTGTCACTGACCGTTTTTCTCGCAAACTGGCGTGTAGCTGAGGATGTCTGGAAGCTGCCACTGCCATCCGCACCCTGGCCATGCATCCTTCACATGCTTAACCGTGTAGTGCGGGGTCGGGACTGTGATGACAACGTAGACCATGCGGGGCCTTGTGGGAATCCTATCATGATCGTGGTGGGATAACGCGATGAGGGCTCCGGGGGCGGAATGACACTTCTGGGGGCGGGAAGCGATGTAGTTTCGCCGACGGAGGGGGGGGGGGGGCGATAATTGGAGTCCACGGTGATTTAGACTACAGGCCAATCCACCGCACTGCTGGCCAGCCATTCGACAAGACAACAAACCTACCTACAAACCAAGAGTGGCCAAGGCAAGCAGCCATGCAAGCAGAGGGCGGAGCCCGTCAACTAATCCTTTGTGAATCCACGCAAATCTATTGGAGAAGGGCCGTCCCCCTTGGCATGTGCAGGGAGGCGAAGCTGGGAGGCGGGAGGCGCTTCTGGCACATCCCCCCTCCCAACTGGAGGCCACAAGACACCGAGAGGGGGGGGGGGGGGCGCAAAGCATGGCCCGCGGCGGCACGTGCGCGGCCCAGGGGAGGGGCCAGGGACGTACTGGAAGAAAGAAGAGGCGCCCCGAAATCTGTGGAAATATCATGGCCCACGCCACGAAATCCCCGCCCCCCCAGTCATCACCGCCCTCTTTGCCGCCGCGGGGCTGGGGCGCCCGAGGCGCCGCCAGGGGGATCCAGCGCGGATCCGAAGAGTCCGCGCGGACCTCCGAGTGTTCGTGCTTTTATGTCCTTCTCCAGTCCCCGCGGGGACGCCTCTTGTTCACGTGTACGCTTCTGCTTCTGCTGGTGCTCATGCTCCCTCCGAGGCTTCAGGCTTCTGCTTGTGCTCATGCCTTTTATCAGCGAGCGAAGAACGGTATAAAATAAACTTTTTTGCTGTCGGGGGCGCCTGTCCCTGGGCGGTTGGAAAGCTTATACCCCTACGGTGCCACCGTAAGGGTATAAACTTTCCAGCCGCCCGGGGACAGGCGCCCCCGACGGCGAAAAAGTTTATTCTATACCGTTCTTCGCCCGCTCATCTCATGGCGAGTGACGCCGCGGGGCCCGGGCCCGCCGGGGGCCCGGGGCGGGGACGCCCGCGGGCGCCGTCGGCGCGGGGCGGGCCGAGCCGAGGCGGCCACCGCCTCCGTGCCCGCGGGCTGCGGGGAGCGCGCGGGGGCCGCGGGCACGCCCGGCGCGGCCATAGCGGGAGCTGCCGCGGGAGGGCCTGCGCGGAGCGCCGCCCGTCCCTGCCAAGCAGCCACCACCAGCGACGAGGGCGAGCGACGAGGGCGAGGACGAGGAGCGACGAAGGCGAGGGCGAGGGCGAGGGCGAGGGCGAGGGTGCGCGACGAGGGCGAGGGCGAGGGCGAGGGCGAGGGCGAGCGACGAGGGCGAGGACGAGGATGAGGGCGAGGACCAGCCACCGCCAGCGAGGAGGGCGAGGACGACGAGGAGCAGCGGCGGCGTGCGTGCCTCCCCCCCCCCGCTGCGTCGGGGGGTCCCCGCCGGTGGCGCCAAAATAACGACGCGCGCTTTTGCTCCCCAGTCGGGCGTGCAGGGGCCCACTGTGGGTGCCGGGACCACCAATTACTCGACGCGAAGGGCCCCGTAAGTGCATATGTGTTCCAGCGCGCCCTTATCCGAGAGTCTGATGTCTGAGTGTCAGTGAGTCTGGATGTGAGCGAATCTCAGTCCGAGTGGTCGGATGTGTGTTACTGCGGGCGGACCTGAGTCTTCTGAGTATAAGTGGATGGGTGTGGGTAACTCTGAATATGAGCTGATTGGAAATGAGTGGCTCTGGGCCGATTCAGCGGTCGCATGGCGTCGCAGCACCCAATGCGGTACAACCCTCACACGTTTTGTGGCTCCTTGCGGGGCTCCAACCGCCGCCTCCGCGGCAGGGCTCGCATCCCGGCGCCGCACCCATTCCCGCGCACCCCTCACAAGATTCGTGGCCCCATACCGGGGGCTCCACGCCCCAGTGGCAGCGCCCTCATGGCGGCACTGCCCCATTTGGGTGCACCCTTCACACGCTCCGTGACTCCTTAGGGAGCTCCACCAACGGCGCCAGCGCCACCGCTGGCATGGCGGTACCGCCCCATTTCGGCAAACCCCATACATGCTTTTGGCCTCGTAGGGAGGAGCTCACCTTCCTTCGTCTCACCTGCCTTTCGGTTCTCACGCCTGCATATGGCTGAGTCGTTCGCCACGATACTTGCTTTTTCCCTAGCCATCCTGTGTGGTTTCAAGATGACCCGAGAGGCGATCGAGACGTCCAAGAGGCCTCCAAGAGGACTCTCATGAGGGCCCACAGAAGCAAAACCATTGATTCCCGCCGAATTATTGATATTCGTTTTCTCGCCCTTTCCAGCTTCCGACCCTCCAAGACGACCCACGCGGCCTCCAAAATCGACCCAAGACAACCCAAAAGGCCTCCAAGAGAGCCCAAGAGGCCGCCAAAACGGTCAAAGGCGACCCAAAGCGGGGCCCAAGAGGGGAAACTCGAAATACCATGTCGCGCTCTCGGCCCTACGGCGACACCCAGGACCGCCATCGGGCCACCGAGGAGCCCGCCAGAAGCCCCTGGAGGCCCCCAGGAAGCCCAAATTAGGCCACAGGAGGCCCCCAAGCGACCCCGAGAGGCCCCAAGACATTTCCCAAAAGTCTCCAGGAGGCGTCCGGAAAGCTTCCCAAGAGATCCCTACAGGCATCCGAGGGGCCTCTGACTTACGACCTAAGCACGGTGGCGGGATGCGCCCAAGGTCACTAGATCCGCCGCCCCCTGTTGATTCATCACAAGGGTGCCTGGCGTGCTAGACGATTTCGGTTTTGGTTTTGGTTCTTTTCCAAAAGAACTCCCCCTGGGGCTCTGGCGCGTCCCGCCGGGATCCCGGAAGGATTGCCCAGAGGTGGTTGCAAAGGTTGTTTCTCTCCAGACGGCTCCAAGACGGCCAAAGATGGCCTCCAAGATGCATCCAAGACGGCCAAGATGGCCTCCAAGACGGCTCAGATGGCCCCAAGATGCCTCCAAGATTGCCCAACATGCCTCCAAGACGGCCTAAGATAGACTCAAGATGGTTCAAGACGGCCCAAGAGGCCCCCAAGAGCCCCCCAAGACGCCGCCGAGAGGTCCTCAAGGAGAGCCCGAAGAGGCCAAAATCACTGGTTTTCCTTAGGGTCTTCAAGGATTGTGGCATTTGCTTCCTTCGGCCTTCCGAAGATCTCAAGACGGCCCCAGAGGCCCCCAAGATCGCCCCAAAATCGCTCACGAGGCCTCCAAGATGGCCCCTCGACGGCACAAGAAGCCCCCAAGAAGGCCCCAAGAGGGCCCCAAGACGGCCCAAGAGGCCTCCAAGACGCCCAAGATGGCCTCCAAGACGGACCCGAAGCGCCCCAAGAGGGCCCCAAGTCGGTTCAGAGGCCCCCAAGACGGCTCCCGACGGCGTAAGACGGCCAAAAAAGCCCCCGAGAAGCCCCAAAAACGGCCCCAAGAGGCCCTCAACAGGGCCCAAGAGAGCCCAAGATAGCCCCAACATGGCCTCCAAAACGGTCCCAAGATGGTCCAATCGAGCCCAAGAGGGCCTCAAGAGGCTCCGAAGAGGCATCTTCCCCCTTTTCCTTTTTCCTCCTAGTTCCCGGCTCAAGCTCTTAGTTCCCGCGCCCCGGCGCCCGCGCCCCGGCGCCCGCGCCCCGCGCCCCGGCGCGTGCGCTGGCGCGCGGGCCTCGCCCAGAAGCGCCCGCCATGGCGCCCCAGCGGCCCATCCTCACGTGCGTGCTGGCGGCCGCGGTGGTGGCCCTGTGCCGCAGGGGCGCCGGCTTCGTGGGCTCGCCCACGCCCGCCTGCCAGCGCGGCGAGCGCGTGGCCGCGCGCGTGAGCGCGGAGTACCTGGAGCGCTGCGGGCCGAAGGACGCGGATGTGGCGTTCGACGCCTCGGCCGCCATTGGTCCGGGCCCCACCGTCACCTACAAGAAGCGCCCCTTCGGCATCCTGCGCTACCAGCCGGGCAACGGCATGAAGGGCGCGATGGCCATGGAGGTGATGCCGGTGTCCCGGCACCCTGGGGACCCTCAGGGCCAGGCGTTCTCCGCCGGCGTGTCGGGCGGCACGGTGGTGAAGCCCATCGTCGGCGCGGAGGTGTTGACGGAGGACTTCGGCAAGATCATGGACCGGCCCGACGACGAGGTGGCCGACCCGCGCTTCTCGAAGTCCACCGCGCTCGCCCTGGAGAAGTTGGGGAGGAAGGCGGACACCGTTGAAACCGCCCATCGAGGTGGTCTACGCGACCGTGCCGGGCTACGTGTACGCGGGCGCCGAGATGAAGGCGGACGGCCAGGAGCACGAGCTCCGGGCGTACGCCTACGTCCCATCGGCAACTTTTTGGGGGATGCAGCCAGTGATGGGGCGCTGGCTGCCGCGAATGTCCATGATGACTATGTATTCCAGTTTGGCTATCCTCCTCCCCCTCCTAAATCTCCCCCCGAATGTACCCTTTTTCCCGCGGCGGGCTGGCCTCCTAGAGTTCAGATTATCCCCTTTGTCCCTCTTCCCTGTTGCTGCCTTGCTTGCGACTGCGCTTGCTGCTTCGTCGGGGCCGCCCGCTCGTCCTCCCTCGCCCGCAGGTCGACTGGCCCGCCGCTGCTCCTGGCCGGCACCGCGGCTACCGCTGCCGCGACCAGCGACGCCAGCACTTCCACGACGACTGCCACGACCGCGGCTACGACGGCTACGTCCCATCCCACGACCAGGCCCTCCCCCACTTCCACGCAAACTACCACACCCTCCACTGCGGCTACGACCAGGGCCACGACCGCTGCCACGACCATGACAACGACCAGCGACGCCTGCACTGTCACGTCGACTACCACGTCGGCGGCTACGACGCTTACGACCCCTCCCGCGACCATGAGTACTCCCACTGCCACGCCAACTACCACGACCTCGACCACAACCACGACCTGGGCCACGACCACTACCGCGACCATGACCACGACCAGCGACGCCTGCACTACCACGCCGGCTACCACGACCGGGGCTACGACGCTCATGATCCATCCCACGACCATGTCTACTCCCACTGCCACGCTAACTACCACGACCTCCACTACGACCACGACCAGGGCCACGGCCGCGAGCATTCCTACGGCGACGAGGGACGCGATCGCGGCCACCACCACGGCCACGTCCAGCGACGCCAGCAATACCGCGTCAACTACCACGACTGCGTCGACGACGGCTACGGCTCCTCCCACGACCACGACCACGCCTGCTCCCACGCCAACTACCACGACCTCCACTACGACCACGACCGGGGCCACGACCGCTACCACGGCGACATCGACCACCACCGACGACGGCTTCGCCGGCATCGGCTCCGACGGCGGCTTCGGCACCACCTCCGACGGCGGCCCCCGCGTCGACGACTCCGACACGAGCTCCAGCCGCGACCCCGGGGCTGGTTCTGGCGGAGATGCCGATTGGCTTGGCGTTGCTCACGACGTCTGCGGCGTTGGCTCCGAAAGCGATTCCGACGGCAGCACCGACGAGGCTTTTGACGCCTACCTCGACAGCGGCACCAGCGCCGGCTCCGACAACGACACCGTCGGCGTCTCCGACGCCGGCTCCGACGGCAGCCCCACGGCCGTACAGGTCGACGCTCCCGACGCCAGCTCCGAGGGCGACACCGGCGACATCTTCGGAGGAGACTTCGACGCCAGTTCCGAGGGCTACCCCAAAGCCAGCTCGAGGGGCGACACCAGCGCCTACGCCGGCATGAACACCAGCGCCGACACCAGCACCAGCGCCAGCATCGACGCCAGCGCCAACGCCCGCGCCTACGTACGCCGACACCAACGCCAGAGCCTACGCCACCGTCGACGACACCACCGACGACAACGCCAACGCCCGCGCCTACGCCGGCATGAACGCCAGCGGCAGCGCCAGCATCGACGCCAGCGCCAACGCTCGCGCCTACGCTGGCACCAACGCCAGAGCCTACGCCACCGTCGAGAACAGCACCGACGACTGCACCAACGCCGGCGCCTACGCGGGCATGAATGCCAGCGCCTACACCAGCACCAGCGCCAGCATCGACGCCAGCGCCAACGCCCGCGCCTATGCCGGCACAAACGCCAGAGCCTACGCCACCGTCGACGACAGCACCGACGACAGCACCAACGCCCGCGCCTACGCTGGCATGAATGCCAGCGCCTACACCAGCACCAGCGCCAGCATCGACGCCAGCGCCAACGCCCGCGCCTATGCCGGCACAAACGCCAGAGCCTACGCCACCATCGACGACAGCACCGACGACAGCACCAACGCCCGCGCCTACGCTGGCATGAATGCCAGCGCCTACACCAGCACCAGCGCCAGCATCGACGCCAGCGCCAACGCCCGCGCCTATGCCAGCACAAACGCCAGAGCCCACGCCACCGTCGACGACAGCACCGACGGCAGCACCAACGCCGGCGCCTACGCCGGCATGAGCGCCAGCGCCTACGCCACCACCAGCGCCAGCATCGACGCCAGCACCAACGCCCGCGCCTACGCCGGCACCAACGCCAGAGCCTACGCCACCATCGACGACAGCACCGACGACAGCACCAACGCCGGCGCCTCGGTCGGCATGAACGCCAGTGCCTACACCAGCACCAGCGCCAGCATCGACGCCAGCGCCAACGCCCGCGCCTACGACAGCACCAACGCCAGAGCCTACGCCACTGTCCACGACAGCACCGGCACGAGCACGACTACGACGACGAGTCCGAGCACGAACCAGTGCAAACAGCACTACCAGCATCACCACGGGCATAACCAGTGCAATCAGCACGACCACACACAGACGACCAGCACCAGCGACACGGGCAACCAGCACGACCACCTGTGCAACCAGCATGCCTACGACTGCCACGAGCACGAACACTACAGCGGCAACCACCGCCGATGCGGCGATTCCTACCACCAGCACCGGCTCGGCTCCCACGACTGCGAGGACCAGCTCCTGGGCGCTACACCAGAGCCCCCACGAGGCCACTACACTAGTTCAGCCGAGCTTTACTTTCACCAGCACCTCCGCTCTTGCGCCGCATGCGCGTCGGGAGCGGCATGCACTTCTGCGTGCCCATGTGGATTCCCATCTCCCGACTCTCAATGGCCAGCGCGCTGCCTTTCGCATGGGGCCTCACTCGCTCTCGGTGGGGTGCACAGTATCCTCCAACGAGCCCCCGCGCTCCTCGCAGCTCTCCCAATCGTGGCTCCTTCGGTCATGTTATGGGCTGTGACGGGGCAGGTCTTGAACTCCACGCTCGGGGCGGCGCTTCCCGTCCCCGCGCACACGGCGTTGCTCCTCGCCTCCGCCTGCGTGTCCCCAGCTTCTCTCGAGGTCGTCGTCTATGGGGCCATGGTGCACGGCGGACCCTCGCAGCGGGGCTTGGCAGCGATCTGTGCGACGGCTCTCGCTCACGACTTCCACGTCCGACGCCCCCTGTGCGAGGCTTTGACGCTGGCTTCCACGGCGGCCCTCAGCCCAGCGTGGTTCTGCCCAACGAGCCCCGCTGCTTGGGCCGGCCAGGTGGTCCTCCTCGCTCGGGCGGTCACCACGCCTGCTTTCCCCGCTTCGGATGGCATTTGCGCCACGTGCCAATGGGAGACTAATCGGTGCACGTGCCAGCGGGGCGGTTCCCGCAGCCCTCAGCGCCCGATCGCCGCGGCGGCTTCCTCTGCCTCTGCGGGCCCAGCGAGGCAGGAGGTCCACGTGAGCAACACGTTTGTCGAGGCGGGGCCAGCGGTTCGCTCCCCTGGGCGACACCTCCGGCGCAACCGGACTGATGGGGATGAGCCGCTCCTGGTCGTGGGACTCGGCGGGTTGAATCTCGACCCTGCCAGGGACATGCATGTGGACGCGGGGATTCCCTTGGAGGAACAGCGCCGGGCCGAGGCTCTCAACCGCCCCCTGGCCAGCGCTCCCGGGGAGGGCGCCCCGCCGCCCGGGGCTCCACAGGCAGCGCCGCCAGCCGGGCAAGAAATACCAGCCCCCCCTCCCCCGGCGCCCGATCCTGCCCACCAGCGCAGGGTTCGCGCCCGCGTCCGGGTGCACTGCCCCGTCCCTGGGCGCCCGCGCGGCGACGCCGCGCCCTCCGCCGGCTGGGGGGACCACCAAAGCATGCGCCCGCACCTGAACGAGCACGCCGCCGGGCGGTTCCCTGGGCTGCCACCAGTCCCGCCCGAGTACCTGCAAGAGCACCGGTTGGAGCAATGCTCGGTCTGCCAACGGTGATTGTCGACGCGCTTCGGCGGCATCTGCCCGCGTTGCCGCCCTGCCGCGCGCGCGGCCGCAGCCGTGGCAGCCGCCGCTCCCGCCGCTGGCGGCCAACCGCACAGCGAGCCCGCGGGCCCCCCCTCCCTCCGGGAAGCTTTCTCCAAGCCCTCCACCACCAAGCGCTACGTCCCGAAGGGCGCCCGGGACCTCTGGGCACGGTGCCTAGCGCAGACGGTGGCCCAGACCGCGCACAACAACTCCGAGGCTGCGTGGACAGAGCTTGCGATGCTCCCGAAATGCGTCCTGCGCCCTCACACCCGCGGCGGCCGAGGCAGCAGGGCGGCCGGCGAAGCGCAGACCAAGGCGCTGCGCCGGCGCTGGCTGGACGGGGAGCGGGCCTCCCTGTGGGCCGAGGCAGTCGAGGCTCGCGCTGCCCAGCACGCCTCGCAAGCCTCCCAGCGTGCGGAGAGGTGCGTGCAGCTCGCCGCAGACGTCCAGTACTCCAAGAGCTGCTCGGCTCTGACCAGCGAGCCGCCCGTGGAGGTCACCCCCGACGTCGTTGAACAGATGAGCCAGAAGCACCCGCGCAGCCGCCAAGCCGTGGAGCCCGCCAGCCTTCCAGCTGTCCACGCGGCTGCTGCCCTGCAGATGGACGGGGGCGCAGTCCGTAGGGAGGTGCGGGCCTTCCCCCAGGGTTCGGCCGCCGGGCCAACGGGCCTCCGACCCCAACACCTCAAAGACGCACTGCTCAACGCGGCCCACAGGGACGAGGTCACCGACCAGCTCCGGAACCTTGTCAACCTCTGCGCCAGGGGGCAGGCCCCGCCGACCGTGTCCGAGTACTTCGCGGGCGCCTCTCTCGTGGCCCTGCCGAAGAAGGACGGAGGCCTGCGCTCTGTTGCCGTCGGGGAGGTGCTCCGGCGCCTCGTCGGCAAGTGCCTCTGCCACGAGGTTGCCGACGCCGCGCGCGACCGACTGGCCCCCCTCCAGATCGGCGTCGCGGTCCCTGGCGGCACCGAGGCGGCGGTGCACGTCGCGCGCCAGCGGTGGACCCGCCACCTCGGGGACCGGGGAAAGGTGTTTGTGAAGCTGGACTTGTCTAACGCCTTCAACACCCTGGACAGGCAGGCTCTGCTCCGCGCGGTCCACGAAGAGTTTCCCGGGCTGGCACCCTGGGCCGACTGGTGCTACTCCCGCCCGTCAACTCTCTTCCTGGGCAAACAGACAGTCCGCTCCGAGTGCGGGGTGCAGCAGGGCGACCCCCTGGGGCCCCTACTGTTCTCCCTAGCACTACAGCGCGCCGCCGAGGCCGCCCTTCGCGCGCCGCGCCACGGCGCCGACGGCGCCGTCGACCTGAGTTTCTTCTACTTGGACGACGGCTGCCTCGCGGGCGACGCGCCGGCCGTCGCGCGCCTCCTCCACTTGCTCGTGGCCAGCCTTGCCGCGGTGGGCCTCCAGCTGAGCACCGGCCCGGGCAAGTGTGAGGTG